ACTATAGACTAGACTATAGACTAGACTATAGACTAGACTATAGACTAGACTATAGACTAGACTATAGACTAGACTATAGACTAGACTATAGACTAGACTATAGACTAGACTATAGACTATAGACTACAGACTATAGACTAGACTATAGACTAGACTATAGACTAGACTATAGACTAGACTATAGACTAGACTATAGACTAGACTATAGACTAGACTATAGACTAGACTAGACTAGACTATAGACTAGACTATAGACTATAGACTACAGACTAAAGACTAGACTATAGACTAGACTATAGACTAGACTATAGACTAGACTATAGACTAGACTATAGACTAGACTATAGACTAGACTATAGCCTAAAATATAGACTAAACTATACACTAGACTATAGACTAGACTATAGACTAGACTATAGACTAGACTATAGACTAGACTATAGACTAGACTATAGACTAGACTATAGACTAGATTAGACTATAGACTAGACTATAGACTAGACTAGACTATAGACTAGACTATAGACTAGACTATAGACTAGACTATAGACTAGACTATAGACTAGACTATAGACTAGACTATAGACTAGACTATGGACTAGACTATAGACTAGACTATAGACTAGACTATAGACTAGACTATAGACTAGACTATAGACTAGACTATAGACTAGACTATAGACTAGACTATAGACTAGACTATAGACTAGACTATAGACTAGGCTATAGACTAGACTATAGACTAGACTATAGATTAGACTATAGACTAGACTATAGACTAGACTATAGACTAGACTATAGACTAGACTATAGACTAGACTATAGACTAGACTATAGACTAGACTATAGACTAGACTAGACTATAGACTAGACTATAGACTAGACTATAGACTAGACTATAGACTAGACCAGCGGTTCCCACCGATTTTTACTTCGCGGACCCCTTGAAGAACTTATTTAATTTCGCGGACCCCCATACATATTTTGATATCTTATTGTTCTAAATAATTGTCCATCCGAAAATTGACCTAGTTCATTAATCCCTAGGTCTAATAAATGTAGAGATGTCATATTTCAGATAGGTTTTCAATTGCATGTTTTGAAGATGGAATGACTTCTTTGTTGATATGTTAACATGATGTTTAATTTTATGATCGTGAGATCTTTCATGTTCATTTTTCTTTAAGGTAGCGAAAAGGTTTCTTTATCAAATATTGTCACATGTGCTTAAGGAGTCACGTTTCAAAAATTTGTTGCGATTGCAAAGGGTGAACTGAGTAAGTGAGCTAAGTTTTCGGGAAAATAATATAAGAAAGTTGGACTTCTTCTATGTTGTTGCGGAATGCGTTATCCGCATAATATATGATTTGAACTCTTTGTTAAAGTACTGTGAATTTGGAACTTAAATTTTAATTTTAAAATACCAACGAATTATTTTACTTCATGGTTTTTGGCTACATATTTACGCGAAACGCTATGGATTTTCTGATGTTAATTTAATAATATGTATTGGTCGACAAAATCAAGTTAAAATCTGTGTATCACGTCGGATTGGAATATTTATAAAGAGATGCATAAAGAGTCACCTCTGTTTTGGAAATATATAATTTTAGTCCTTTCAAACGAGAACACTTTTGCTTACAATTTGATAAACTTAAATCTGTAATAAGCTTGTCTTTGAATTGAACTTCATACTCCGGAATACCAGTATCCCTAATTTAATTGTAAGGCAGAGTATTATTTGTCTGAAATAAAAACCATTATTTCAGTACGTATACAGGAAATACAAATTACAAATCACGCAATACTTTACTTTATAAAAGTTATACAACAATTTGTAGGGCCTAGCTTCTTCCTGATAAACAACCGAAAAAATAAAATTCAAAAAGTCAACAAAAAATTTGGGATTATTGCACAAAAATAGGAGATATTTGTACATACATATAAAAGCAGAATATTGTTTATTCATGGTTTTTTTCGTTCGTCTTCGCGGACCCCCTAGGATTTTACAACGGACCACTAGGGGTCCGCGGACCCCCATTTGGGAACCGTTGGACTAGACTATCTATGACTAGACTAGACTACTAGACTAGACTAGACTAGACTAGACTATAGACTAGACTATAGACTAGACTATAGACTAGACTATAGACTAGACTATAGACTAGACTATAGACTAGACTATAGACTAGACTATAGACTAGACTATAGACTAGACTATAGACTAGACTATAGACTAGACTATAGACTAGACTATAGACTAGACTATAGACTAGACTATAGACTAGACTATAGACTAGACTATAGACTAGACTATAGACTAGACTATAGACTAGACTATAGACTAGACTATAGACTAGACTATAGACTATAGACTACAGACTATAGACTAGACTATAGACTAGACTATAGACTAGACTATAGACTAGACTATAGACTAGACTATAGACTAGACTATAGACTAGACTATAGACTAGACTATAGCCTAAAATATAGACTAAACTATACACTAGACTATAGACTAGACTATAGACTAGACTATAGACTAGACTATAGACTAGACTATAGACTAGACTATAGACTAGACTATAGACTAGACTATAGACTAGACTATAGACTAGACTATAGACTAGACTATAGACTAGACTAGACTATAGACTAGACTATAGACTAGACTATAGACTAGACTATAGACTAGACTATAGACTAGACTATAGACTAGACTATAGACTAGACTATAGACTAGACTATAGACTAGACTATAGACTAGACTATAGACTAGACTATAGACTAGACTATAGACTAGACTATAGACTAGACTATAGACTAGACTATAGACTAGACTATAGACTAGACTATAGACTAGACTATAGACTAGACTATAGACTAGACTATAGACTAGACTATAGACTAGACTATAGACTAGACTATAGACTAGACTATAGACTAGACTATAGACTAGACTATAGACTAGACTATAGACTAGACTATAGACTAGACTATAGACTAGACTATAGACTAGACTATAGACTATAGACTAGACTATAGACTAGACTATAGACTAGACTATAGACTAGACTATAGACTAGACTATAGACTAGACTATAGACTAGACTATAGACTAGACTATAGACTAGACTATAGACTAGACTATAGACTAGACTATAGACTAGACTATAGACTAGACTATAGACTAGACTATAGACTAGACTATAGACTAGACTATAGACTAGACTATAGACTAGACTATAGACTAGACTATAGACTAGACTAGACTATAGACTAGACTATAGACTAGACTATAGACTAGACTATAGACTAGACTATAGACTAGACTATAGACTAGACTATAGACTAGACTATAGACTAAACTAGACTATAGACTAGACTATAGACTAGACTATAGACTAGACTATAGACTAGACTATAGACTAGACTATAGACTAGACTATAGACTAGACTATAGACTAGACTATAGACTAGACTATAGACTAGACTATAGACTAGACTATAGACTAGACTATAGACTAGACTATAGACTAGACTATAGACTAGACTATAGACTAGACTATAGACTAGACTATAGACTAGACTATAGACTAGACTATAGACTAGACTATAGACTAGACTATAGACTAGACTATAGACTAGACTATAGACTAGACTATAGACTAGACTATAGACTAGACTATAGACTAGACTATAGACTAGACTATAGACTAGACTATAGACTAGACTATAGACTAGACTATAGACTAGACTATAGACTAGACTATAGACTAGACTATAGACTAGACTATAGACTAGACTATAGACTAGACTATAGACTAGACTATAGACTAGACTATAGACTAGACTATAGACTAGACTATAGACTAGACTATAGACTAGACTATAGACTAGACTATAGACTAGACTATAGACTAGACTATAGACTAGACTATAGACTAGACTATAGACTAGACTATAGACTAGACTATAGACTAGACTATAGACTAAACTATAGACTAGATTATAGACTAGACTATAGACTAGACTATAGACTAGACTATAGACTAGACTATAGACTAGACTATAGACTAGACTATAGACTAGACTATAGACTAGACTATAGACTAGACTATAGACTAGACTATAGACTAGACTATAGACTAGACTAGACTATAGGACTAGACTATAGACTAGACATTAGGACACTAGCCTATAGACTAGACTATAGACTAGACTAAGAGACTAGACTAATAGACTAGACTATAGGACTAGACTATAGACTAGACTATAGACTAGACTATAGGACTAGACTATAGACTAGACTATAGACTAGACTATAGACTAGACTATAGACTACAGACTATGACTAGACTATAGACTAGACTATTTTGCCAACTTTTAATTAACTATTTGTTCAAAAATCATGCAAATTTCGCTAGCAAACGGAAAGTCGAACATTATTCGATTTGTTTCGAAATTACAAAGAATTTCCCTTTATTTGTGTCAAGTGTAATTGTTGCCTATTGCAATAAGAAAACGAAATAAGTAAAAATAAACAGTTCATAATTTAAATATAACTTGTTAATCACATAAATAGGCCTTATTCATCCACTAAATGACTAATAGTTTATCAGCTAAATTTCTCATTATAAATTATTTATTATAATAAATACAAATAAAAGGTAATTAAAAATAAATATTAGTTCTGTATAAAACTTTAAAGGCATAAAACAACTAAACAATACAGAATTTAAAAATAATTTTTTTTATAATAAAAAACAAATGTTTATGGATTTATTAAAAAAACAATAAAACTTTAAAAAATATTTCAAAGTAAACAATTTGGTGTTTTTCCTAACAAATAATTAAAATACAAAAGGTATGTCACTCATCAATCAACTCATTATAGTATGAGACCCGTTAAATAGAAAAATAGCAATAGCAACAGCAACAATAATTATAATTTTAAATAATTAAAAATTTTCTAATTTTTATTAAAATATCAAAAGTTTATCAATAAATAATTAAATTCAAACGCGTAATGTTGGAAACGAACGCTCTAACGCAAAAATAAACAAAAAAAAAAATAAAAAATTATAAATAAATTCTTAGTGTAATAGAAAATATGTACTTAAATATTTTCAAATAAACACAAAACTATTTTAAAATAGAAATGAATTAACAAAACAAGTTATTTGCATATTATTAAAACAAAAAAAAAAATGCAATCAATAAATTTTATAAAATAGAACGTTTTTTTATATTACAACAATTTGCTAAGAAAATATTTGAAAAAAAAAAATTAAACTAAAACCACAACAAAAAAAGCAATAAAAGAAAAGAAACAAATATTTATTTAAATGGTGTGATGAAATATTTATAAATTACATGGAAGTGTTGATGAAATGCCCAACGGAAATAAAAGGCGACCGGATACTTTGGAATTAGAAGTACTTCGAGCAGCAACACCTGCAAATGCAGAACAACGTTATGAAACCACTGATAGTGAACGTTTACGTAACACATGTCCTGAAACCTCCCTAACACCTTTGCAAATCCACTCTCAAAACGAGAGATCTTTACGAAGTGAACGGCGTCTAACAACACCACGAGAACGTTGGTTTCATTTTAGCAGCCTATTCGCCAGAAGGTCTAGAGATGGTAATACAACTACAACAACAACTACATTTGCTACTAGCACTGCCGATGTGGGTACGACGGCTACTTTAGCCCGACCCGAACCCTCGACCATAGATAATTCAACAACAACCATACTTACTTTATCACCCCAGAACAATGATCAGGAAAATTTGCCCGATGTGGCTGCTGTATTACCACGTAAAAATTCCAAAAGACGTTCACGTAATCGCTCACAATCCGGTAGTCTATATAGTCTAGCTACACTAGCCCAAACGGGCGAAATACAACTACATTCACGTAATGAAAAAGATCCGGAAGCTGAAGCTTTAGGCTCGTCATTATTGAAAAGAAAAATAGATTCTAAAGATAAAATACTGCTGACATCTATGGCTGCGGATGAATCAGCTCAAACCCAAATTGAATCAGAGGAAGTAACAGCCGAGGGTCTGAATAACTCTTCGAAATCTGGTTTACGCGCCAGTCTTATGTCGTATTTAAGTAAATTTACCGTATGGAAGAATAGTAACTGTAGAGGTCAGAGTAAGAGATCGTCACGTTCCAAACACTTTCCAAAATCTAGTGGTGGTGTTTATAACACTGGTCCCAGCAGTAGTTTGGGTCCACGCAAATCCGTTAATATAAGTACCGACTTTGAACAATTTCCTGCCGCTGATAACACCGACGAAAAACTGGGTGATCGTTTTGTCAATGCCAAAGAAATGGGCATACGACGTTTGTCACAAATACGACGGCGCAGAAGTTCCTATTATTTTTCAGGTATAATTTGTGTTAATGCATGTCTTTTTCTTGAAGTTTTTGAACTATTTCGAATATAAGTTTGAATTTTCGAAAATTTCAAAATTTTTAAATTTATGTTCGAATTTGAAGACATTTTAAAATGTTTTTAACTTCGAAATTTTTGAACATTTAGAAATTATTTCAGCTACTTTAAGAGGCTAAAACGTAACTATACTCTACATCGCCATAATGGGGACGATATTATGTGTTTGTGGTGATATTTGTAACGCCCTAAAATATTGTTCGTACAGCCAAGCTCGAATATAGGAGAAATCATCTCTTTACTTCTTTCTTTAGTTTTATCCTTTATTGTTTTTTTCTTAAAAGGAATCACAGGTGACACTTTTAGTCTTTTTAAGGGTTATTAATAACTTTATAAAATAACCAATTGTATTTGGCCAGTTTTTTTCTGTCATTTATCCTCTTAGAAAGCACACTTTTAAATCTTCAGCCAACACCGGGTTAAGTTTATATAATATTATTATGTTTCTTTTTTTGATAAATTCTAAATTTGTCTTTTCTAACTATTAAAGTGCTCACTCATGTCAAAATGTATGAAATTATTATATATCTACGTAAAACTACTTATTTAGTTTATTATACACTAAAAACATATTTATTTTTATACATTTTAAAGTTCATATTTATTTTTGTCTTCTTTTTTCCAGAAAATGAACGCAGAATACGTGCTAATGATAGAGAGTTCAACGCCCAGTTCAAATACGCTGTAAGTATATCAAAAGAAAAAATATCAAAAATATAAACGAAAGTTAGCAGGAAAATATTGATAATTTTACATACTTTACATACAAATACTTATTACAAGGAAATTTTTTCAAAAAATTCTATAATTAATTATTAAAATCGATAGACTCATTATTAGCTGTCTTTTAGTGTTTATGTTCAAATTTAACAGTTTAATTTGATAAATTAAGTAGATTTTTTAACTGGCTGTTTAACCTATTTTCCAAAAAAGGATATTCAAATAAAAAAAAAAAAAATATTTTAAACTTTTACAATACAATAAATATGTATGTCATCATATACATGTGTTTACTCTTTGTTAACATTTCTGCATTTGTCAATTTTTATATTTATTCTATATCTATTGTTATGCTGGAGGACATAAAATTATTATAACAAAAAAAGTAGGAAAGTATTTCTATAAATATTTCAAAAAGTACTAAGTAAGTACTAAAAGTATATTTATAGAAATGCTTAAAGGTTATTACATCAACACACACACTGAATTTTGCGTTTTATCCTTAATAAAAATGCTTGATATCACTTTTAGCTACTTTATTACACTTTTTTCCTCCTTCATCGGCTTATTTGTATAAAAACACACATTTATGTATTAGGGAGGTTTTAATTTTTTTTTAAATTTCGAAAATAGATAGATAGATAGATAGATAGATAGATAGATAGATAGATAGATAGATAGATAGATAGATAGATAGATAGATAGATAGATAGATAGATAGATAGATAGATAGATAGATAGATAGATAGATAGATAGATAGATAGATAGATAGATAGATAGATAGATAGATAGATAGATAGATAGATAGATAGATAGATAGATAGATAGATAGATAGATAGATAGATACCTTAATCGACCCCGCTATATATAAGGATCCAAAATATACAAACGAAATGCCAAACATCATTTTGGAAGGTCTAACGTTCGAAAAGTTGATTTATAGACCCATATTTTTTGATGTGTAAAGTCGAATTTTTATGAAAATTGAAATCACATGAATTTTCATTGCACTCTTCTTATTGTAAAAAAAATAAAAAAGGACACCCTAATATACATAAATATCATTTGCAATGAATTTTTTTAACATTACAATATTACATCATTAAATTGTGTGTATTCGCCCAAAATTCCCTACACGAAATTTTCACAATTGAAACGATTGACTAAAAGAGTGAGTAAGTGGATGTAGGATGGATGGTGTGGTGTGCCTCTGAGCGAATGCTTTATGTGCGTTTATATAAAACATATATTTGTAAGCAGTGCCTGCACTATAACAACAATATATAATTAGGTCAATAGGTTACATTAAGTTTTCAAAAATAAAGGAAGCAAGCTAAGAAAAAGAGGGCCAGGCAGGCAGCCAGGTTTGTCTGGCTGTGAGTAGAACTTTTAGGAACATGCATAAAAAACGGGGCGAACCTAACAAATTAAATCCTATATATAGAGTTTCTAACCGGTAATAATAATAAAATAAAATGAGATTTCAATAAAGAAAGAGAGAGAGAGAGAGAAGGAGCTATTAAATATAACTTAAGTAAAAAGCTGTTTAGTTTTTTTTTATGAATTACATTTTCTTATCATGATTTTGATGAAATCCAGTATTAAGGAAAAGTAGAACAAATTTGTGGGGTTTTTTTATGGGGAATATATTTAAACTTTAATACATTTTAAATATTTTACTACTTTAATTTATATTTAATTTATTATATGTTTTTTTTTTTGTTCTTATTGCAGGATAACTATATTAAAACGTCCAAATATTCGTTGATGACATTTTTGCCATTTAATCTTCTAGAACAATTTCAACGTCTTGCCAACTTTTATTTCCTTTGTTTGTTGGTGTTACAACTTATACCGGCCATATCATCACTTACACCAGTTACCACAGCCATTCCATTAATCGGTGTACTGACATTAACCGCAGTTAAAGATGCCTACGATGATATTGTAAGTAGCGTATAGTATTTATTTTAAAAGTGTTGTATCTAGAAAGTATAATTAAAAAACGCAATTTTAAAACGCAAAACTAAAAATGTTTTCGCATTGACAATAGAATCTATTAAAGAATATAATTTTCTACGTGTTTGGAAAATCTCGTATTTTGAGTTACCTTACTTTTGCTGTAAATGAGCCATATATTAAATACTTGACAACAAAACAAAAATAAACAATCATATGAATGAAAATGGTAGAATAAAAAGCGAAAAGAAATAAAAATAAAACAAGTACTTTTTACATCGGCATTAGACCTGCCCTTAAAAATTTATTGGTCCTATGGGTTAACATAAACAAAAATTACACAGGCTAACGAATTTTTAAACCAGAGACCAAGGTATAGTTTTCAGAATTTATCCATCACATCAGGTTTTTGAGTTATCGTGTCCTTAAAGCTGAAAAAACAGTTTTTTTGGGCATATTTGAGACCTTATAAAAGAGGTAAGACATCTTAACTCATAAAATCCGTTATGTCGTCTGAAAATCGAATCTTTTGTCTTAAAAGTAAAGCTTTAACCTCCATGCTTCTTCAAGTCGTTTTAACTTAAAGCTTGAAAGAAATTCTGAGGCCAGATTTGGATTTTGCGATGAAATGGTCTCTGGGTTTGACTTTTTTAAAATTTTGTTATTAATTAATATGAAAGTTGTTTAATGTCCCAAAATCTGAGCAAATTTATTTATTTGACTCGTCTAGGACATGATTATGTTTAATTATAAGTACTGCTTCGCGAAAAGAGTTAGAACTACTACAGGCTTCATTAGCAAAGACTCATTTGTGGAAGTATGACTAGTTTCATATAAGATTTTCTTCGTTAATAGTACGATGTAACTGTTCCGAATCATCATTATATTCGCCATCAAAAAGGAGGGTACATTG